TTTGATCAAATGACAAAGAGCAACCTTTGTGCTGCTGCGCAACATATTCAGCAGCATATACTTTTTTTTTTCTTTTAGTTTCAGGGTTTTGAAAACTGAGGTGCACATTAGATTCAGTGACATATTCAACTTGAATCAATGTACCTCTGGGGAATAATGCCACACTGGCGTAGCAGCTGCCTTTCTCCTTTCTTTTCCCCTCCCTTCTTTTTTCTTATACGTTGGTAAGAAACTTCACAGGAAGAAATGTTCCACATAGTATTTTATGTTTGAATAAATCAATGTAAATATTTGCAACTGCATGCAACTACACCTTTTTAATGAGAAGCTTAATCATGTTTTGAAAATGTCATGATCCATTACTCCGGGAAAATATATAGGCAGGATATGAATCACTTGCAACATCAACAAAAGGTCCTCTTAGGATTTTAATATTTATACCACAGACTTTTGTAGCGTCAAACAAACATCCTGTTCATTAGTCTGTGTCATTTAAAACTACTTTCTTGGGAATTATACATTCTAGATGATTTTAGAACACAAATGTCTTTTTAAATGTTAGGAATTTTTTCAGTGTCTCAAAAAAAAAGGTGAAATCCAACTTTGTTTAAGGAACTGGTTAGTTACAACTATTTTGGAAAGCCTATGCACTGAAAGCCCTTCAGTGTCATGTTCATACAGCGTTTACATGGAGTCCTAGCCAGATCTATTGGGCCTTTCCATCACTTAGCATAATTGGCAATGTATTTCTGGCACATGCTTAGTATTCTCATGTGGAAGAGGGCAGTGACAGTTGTGAGCAGATTTCTTCTTGGCATTGATTTATCATTTTATCATTGAAGAATATCCCCTTTTACCATGACTGCCAACAGGAATTAGCAAGTTTTAAATATAGTTGAGAATGGAAGTGATTTATACAGGCAACGTTTCTGGGATTTTTCTTTTGCATCTGCAAATTGCCCTACTAATGCTTTTAATGTGTTTCTTCTATGTTGCATAGTTATTCTGCATACCATCTTTTCCCTCCAGAATCTCCCTTGATCCTGTGTGAAACAAAATACTTTATTATCAAGAAAAGGTGTTGGGTGTCTAGAAGCTAATGAATTCCTCTATATCCTTCTCACTATGGGCAGTCCCCAAGTTTTGTTCTTAAGTTGAATTTGTATGTAAATCTGAACAGGTACATTTTAAAAGTGTAAGTCCAGATATGGAAGCTTTGGATAGCATAGGGAAGGGTTAACACCCCTGTGGTGTTTGTTTTGCTGTCTGTGCCCCTGTTCAGAAGATTTCACCTCACTTTCTGTCTTTGTGAATTGGATTTTGAAGAAATTGACTCCTTATTTCCATAACAAGGAGACAGAAATTCTCCATGATAACTCTTCCAGGAGTGAATTTCCATTCTTTGAAGTAGATTTCTCTCCCTTCCTTTTGTCTCATCCCCATTCTTAACTATGAGTCATTTGCAAGTTGGATGTTTGTAACTCGGGAACTGCTTCTAGTCCTTTTCTGAAAAGAAATAAAAAGAAGGAACAGAGACCAGTTCTCCTGTGTGAAAAGAGAACTTGGAAATGGCAATAGTGTAAATGGTGGCTAGCTGGAAATTAGATCTATATGGTGGGACGGAGGAAAGAAGGCTAAGTACAGGGTGAGAATTATGGTAAAGGGAAGCAGATTTAGGAAATCTATGGGGAAACCCAAGAAAGGATACTGTACATCCACATGTAAGAGCACTTTTTAAAGAGCTAATTCTCAAACAAAGATATTTTACAGGCCTAATAGACCCAGTGACCAGGGAGTTCAGAATACTTGGATTTTGTACCTTAGGAATGTCCATTGAAGTGGAGTAATTAGTTGAATTTAGTGAGTAGTGAGTTGGGTTTGTGAATAAGTTTGAATTTTAAATTGCTAACCCCATATTTGCTCTGCGTTTAGAATCTTGGGCAAGGTATTTGTTTTCTAATTTTATTAGTTTGTATTCCTGTGAAATCAATTTCTTCTTTCAATCACGGCAAACCAAATTCCAAGTGCAAAAGTAGTTTGCATACAATTAACTTTGCAGGAAAAGAAAAGGAAGTGATGGAATCATATCCTTCCCTGTAAACCCAGGCTGGATCTACACTGCCATATAATTCAGTATCTGATCCCAGTTTTTTCTGATTTGAACTGGATTATATGAGTCTACACTATCATATAATCCACTTCAGAGCAGATAAGGGATCAAATATTGGATTATATGGCAATGTAGATGGGGCCTCAGGCAAAAGCAAACTACAGCAACTCCTTGTTCCTGTATGTTCTCCCTCAGTAATAACCTTTCCCAACATGACCATACACTGATGTTGTTCGTTCACATATGTCCTGGTTTTCACCTATGAAACATTGGAAGGTTGAAGTTAAATTTTTTATAAAGCTCATGCTATACAGCTATGAGAAATAAAAAATAAATTCACGATTTTATACATCTGTTAGTAATTCAGTCAGTTGGAATTATAAAACAACAATTCATGTGAAGACAAAAACTGAAAAATAAAAAAAACACCTTGAATAGTCTCCCTTCAGATAGAAATTCCTTGGGTTTTCTCATGAATTGCATCTAGGGTGAAAAACAAGGATATGATATTGACTTTTCCACTGGACATGATAAAATCTTGACTGAGAACCTAACTAAGGCAAGCTGATGTCATTAGCCCTGCCCTTGATCTGTGATTTATGAGCTCCAAATCATGTTGGGTAGCCTTATGAACTACCATGAAGGCAGAAACACAATTCATAGAGAAAATATGTGACAATTAAATTGTACTTACCTTGAAGTCATATTGGATTTCCTTTTATATAAATATAAATATATAAGCGAGGGCATGCAGTTGACTTCTTTAGTCACTGCTAAAAGTGTGAGGTGTTTCACCCAAAGAAGATGAAAGCACTTTGTAAAAGAAGTGTGCATTCTGATTTAATTCATTATAGAGGAATCATGAAAGTAGTGACTTCTCTAATAGACATTTTGATTCAGTGGTTGGTATAAATTTAAAAGATATATTTGACCCCACCAAACTTTCATGCACAGAGCATGTATGCTAATTAGCAGATACAAAAACTACCTCTAAAGAAATGTTAGCTCCCTCCCCAGTTACAGGAAAGATTTATATTCCTCCTTTCCTTTTGGGATTAAATCAAGGGTGCAGCGAAATATGGTCCAAGTGTTTTTTTGCAGGCTGTTTTTTTTTTTCAAAACCAAGAATGAATATCAAAATTGGGCTTTCTTTCTTTTTTTCCTTTTTTCACTGTCCATGTAACCCTAAGAGAGAGGATGTTCCAGTGGACTCATGGAAATTTCCCATCCATGTGGGTTGCTCTACAGTAGAATGAATACATTTCATTGACACTACTTTAACTAGCATGGCTCATGAGAGCTGCAGTTTTACAAGGTCTTTTTACGAGGAGCTCTCCCTTTTGCTTACAAAATATGAAAAACCAAAAGGTCTTTGACATGTTCCTCCCCATAATCACTTCTATGTATTCTGTTCTCCTTTTTTTCCAGTAGATGCATAGAAAAAAATGAAACTTATCTCATGCTAATAGATTAAAATATACTTAGGAGAAATCCATACTGAACTGCTACACTTGCATCAATGGATGTGTTCATCAGGATGTAATCCTATCCAGTTCTCTGGAATATTATGGAGTTGATTCAGCTATTCCCAATAGGCTTGTGCACAGATCCATTTTAGCAGTTTTCCTTTAGCCAATCTGGCTTCTTCGGCTCTGCTGCATAGCCATAACATCAAGGTCCCAGTGTCACGTTTTCCTGCCCGTAACAGGACCATGTGGAAGCCAATCATGACCTATCTTCCTCAATTCAGTATCATGTAGCACACAAAGATGATGTGTCTTACGCAAGCTGTTTTTGCTTCCTTAACTCCATTGATGAAACCCAGGTTCCCTTGCAGGGAAAAAAGGAAAGGTTACCAGGAAGGGTGCTTCCTTAATTTTGCTGCTGGAACCCAGGATCCCTTGAAGGGAAAAAAGGAAAGGATCCCAGGAAGAAAAGGGGGAGCCTTGTAAGTTCCCCATTGCCACCAATGGGCCAGATCTAGCCCTATTTTTCAGCTGCGGTCCGAAAAAGGCCATTTGGCAACCCGTCTATTTTTGGGAGGCACACAAAAAAGGATATGGGAGTCTGTTGGTATGCAGCCAGAAGAAACAAATCGAGGTTCACCCAAAATGCACAAACCTACTGCTCAATGAGTGAAAAATGTGCAGAAGCCATTGCCTTCATCACATAAAACATATTTATATCTCACAGTGACACCAAGGATTAATCTACATTGTAGAATTAATCTAGTTAGACCCACTAATTGCCATGTCTTGGTACTATGAATCATTTTACAAGGTCTTTAGCTGCCTCTGCAAAAGAGTACTGGTGCCTCCCATGATTCCATAACATCGAGCCATGACAATCAAAGTGGTGTTGAACTACATTGATACTATTGTGTAGATGCAATGTAGGATTTTATCATAGGATGGACTATCAAAATGGGTTTACCACCTACCAAGATTGGAATAGTCGTGATACATATGTTCACATGTGAAATGTAATACAGGTTGAGTGAAGTCTGTAAATATTATACAAACATACAGTAAAAGCTAGATTCAGGATGGTAGTACAATAGCAACATGACATGCCTCTCCTCTTTCTATAGTATGGTTGGGGTGAATCATTATGTTGGCTGCTGTGGCAATGAATCATGAAAGGATTTTTAACTGTTTTAAAAGTATGGGCACGAGTTACATTCCTTTTACTATACAGCTTAGACTTGTGTGTGTGTGTGTGTGTGTGTGTGTGTGTATACTTCCTTAAAATCTAAAGTTAGTTCGGTTAGTTTATGAAACAAATTACTGTCAAGACACTTTCTTTTAAATTAGAACAGAATGCAGCAGTTACTGCATGGCTATTGTTAATTGCTTGTTTGTTTATTGGCCATTCTGTTTCTTTCTTTCAGAGCTTGAAGCAGAAGAATGGTGCAAACATCTTTGTATAGAATGTCTGGGTACCAGACTTAATGACATAAGCCTTGGGGAGCCTGATCTACTTGCTGCAGGAGTTCAGAGAGAGCAAAATGGTAGGCCATCAATTCACCCCTATTTAGATTAATGTACATATTCAAAATATAATGTAATAGTCTGAGTGTTGGACTAAACACTGAGAGACTTTGGAAACTCACTGGGTGACTTTGGGTAGACCATATTTTCCCAGCCAAAGTGCAATTGTGAAAATTCTCCCAAGAAAACCCTATGGTAGGTTCACTTTAGAGTTGCCATAAGTCAGAAACAACATGAATACACACAACGACAACAAATACTCTTATCTTCACAATCATAAACAGTAATTTATGCCAATTCACACTTGTCAGTTTGTCAGGGCTCTGTTATTTCTCTCTGACAAGATCTTTTTATGAATTTGTTGTCCTAACATTGTATAAATTGCTAAGCCTATTTTACTGCACACAAATCTTTTATTAAAATTGCATTGCACCATGAGATTGGTAAGGTTTGTGATGTGTCTGTTCTTTTTGTTTATCAATACTTACATAAAAGAAAATATTGTGAGTTTTCATTACAGAAGATAAGTTGATAAGTTCTGTAATGATAGGTTGTTATCCTCTTTTTTTAAAAAAAAGAAAGAAAGAAACAACACTTCAAATACGTCATTGTTACAAAATATAAACAAAAGTCCTTCCCATATTAACATGCTCTATAATTGAATTGGGATGATCATGGTCAGATTTGAATATAAATTGCTGGAATGGCAATATTGGACCTGAATTCTTTTTTGGCAAAATTAAGCCGAAGCTACACTGCCATATAATCCCATTTCAGAATGCAGATTAAATGCACTGAACTGGATCATATGAGTCTACACTAACATATAAACCAGTTCAATGCAGTTGACCTGCATTCTGAAACTGGATTATATGGCAGTGTAGATCCAGCCTTTGATAGCAGCATTTTCCAGAAGTGACCTGAACCGTAGTTAATGCAGCTGAAAGCTAAATATTGACAGATATTGTGTCTCACACTTCCATATCATACCCTCTAGACCACTGCCTCTTAAATTGTGGCACTGACCACAAATGGGGTCCCCTTCACTCAATGTTGTAGTCCCGAAAAAACTAAGAACAGTAAAAGGTTCCTGACTGCCACCCATTTTCACATATCTGTAAGCAACCATGTGTTGTGTTTACAGTGGACTCTGCAGAAAATGCTTCATCTTTACTCCAAAAAGGGAAAATCAGCCTGTTCAGCAAGGCTTGCAAATGCTAATTTAGTATCAGTGAATGTTTGACTTTTATACCTGTTTTACATATCATGGAGTCAAATTTGAAAAATCAGGTAAAGGGAGTTACGAGCAAAAAAAAAAGTTAAGGAAGCCCTGTTCTAGAAAACCATGATGTTTACCATCGAAAGCTCACTGAGAACCCAGTATGGACAGATATCGTTGTCTGCATGTGTTTGAACTAAATCAGGGATTGATGCTTCACTATGACATTTGAGTAAACTGACAGTTGCAAACTGCTAGAATTGAGCATAATTACAGTGTTTATTATTTTGTAGTAAATAAATGGGATGAAACAAATACAATTAGGCCAGTAGGCACAGGGTCTTCCTACGAGATACACCCCCAAGAAACCAAAAAGTGGCATAATTAGCAGCATCACTTGAAAGGAAAGGAGTGAGTGAAACTGATGTTTCAGTAATATGCTGTGATGAATCATTAGGTACACTCCCTCTGACATTGAAATTTTGATAAATTTCCTCCAGTGGAGAAATTTGCATTTAAATTAGGAAAGCTAAAGCTGTCACCTTAACTATAAAAAGCAAAGCAAGACATTGTGACAGTACATGGCAAGCAGTAAACTATTTGTTGATAGAAATAAGTTGCTTATACAGAAAAACAGTCTCTCTACAAAGAAATGAGAACCATGAACTTTGCTTAAATTCAGTAAAGTCTGTTTGTCTGCAAACGACATTTAAATAAACTAAAGTTCCCAATGAAGAGTGCCTCAGTTCTGTTGCAAAATTTGTGGGAATAGCTTTTATCCACCCTGGCCGTTCTCTTCTGGACGAAGAGAAATCTTGGCAAAGCACCACAAGCTGTTTTCTATTTGCTGTTTTCTAGCTGTCTGCCTGCACATCAAAGGAGACATGTGTTGTATTAACTGGTTGGACATCAAGCTGTATTCTGTACCCAGACTCCCATCTGCAATGATTTAAGTAAATCTGAAATGGATTTGACTTCCAGCTGTGTTAGGAAGAAATGGTAGACACAGGTTAAAAAATTAAGGAGAGTTTAAGTGGGGTTTAGTGATTATTGCCAAGTTTATCTCATAGTCCAATTATTCCATTCACAAAATTATTTCCTTTTATCCTGCACTCTTTGGGTTCTTCTCCCTCAACTTTTCATTAAAATGATTAAGGGACCCAAGCTCAAGCAAGAACCAGATTTAAGAGGGCTTCAAGGCACTCCACAAGTGTGCATGTGTCTCTGTGTATAAAATTATCAAGCAAACTGAAAAAAATCACATCAGCAAAAAAACCCCCAATAAAAATAATTAAAATATAGCAGAATATATTGGCTGCCTCCCCCATCAAATGCTGAAATCCAGTTATGTTTCATCTTTAGCAACTGAAGAAGGTAGAATCTGAAACATTTTTCTCATTTGTTTGGTTCTGTTTGTTAATCCTTTTCTCACACTCAGTCTGTCTGTCTCTCTCATGTCTACCTGCATCCTTCTCAGGGTGCTTTCAGACAGCACCCAAATCCACCCTCCTCCCCTTGAAAATAACAGCCTTTGCTGGCAGGGTCCTTGGATGCCATCCCGATGATCCTCGGGATAGCACCCAGCCAACCCAAAAAACTCCAAAATAAGCCCTTGAGAAACAATTTACTGGATTACCATTAAGGTATTCCTAGAGTCCTCCTGGTGTGTGGAAATGACATGACAGGAGGTGGGGGGATTGAGGAGGAAAATTGCTCCTCTCGCCCCCTCCCCCCATGCCTCCTGGCACATCATTTCTATGCACCAGGATTACCTTAATGGTGGCCTAGTAAGTTATTTCTTCTTTTTAGGTCTTGTTTCAGGGGTTTTGAGGGAGGTGTGGGTGTCATCTTAGTTTTCTGGGTTCATGGAGCTAAAAAAGAGAGAGTGTGGTGTGGATTAGGCCTGGGGATCACGTGATGTGGTCCCTAGACTCAACCCATACTGGGCTCACACCTGTTAAGGCCCGGACTTTACCAAAGATCCAGGTCATATCAGGTATCTAATTAATTTGAGACAAAGGAAGATTTTCCTGCTTTGTCTCAAATTAATTTGCTTTTGCCTGAGGGTAAATGCCCAACAGGTCCCACATTTTGTGCCCTGTCTGAAAGGGCCCTGAGATCCAGGGCAAACCTCGGAGAGGTGATGGTGTTTCGTTTTTAAATTTTATGCATCTGTGTGTGTTTCAAAAGAGGTTGGACTATGATTTGGAGAGAACAGGGTTCAAACCTTAGTTTGATGGATAAGACAAATCGTGGGCAAAACAATTCATTTCAAGAGAGCTTTACCACTGATATCTGTATTTGAAAGTGATAATAAAGATTTGTCAAATAAAAATCTTATATTACTCATTTTATGAGCAGCAAGACTTGAAATATTTAAAACATGGAAAAACTAGAGAATTTATCATTAAAGACTTCGCTAAATACGATACGGGCTATAGCGCTATTGGAAAAGTTAACCTATAAATTAAGTTTAGCAAAAGGACAAATAAAAGGAATCCTAATTGAAAACACAAGGAAGTCATTTATTAGATACATATGCAAAACTAATGGTGAGTTGAAACCACCAAATGACCAAGAAAAAATATGGATGAACAATTAGAAAAACATACCACAATAACTTAGAATGACCAAAAGCAAGAGAATAGATAGAGCTATATTTATATAAAGCTATGTGTATGATAGGGGCAGGAGTGCGGGAGCATAAATCAGTGTAACAGTACAACAATAAAAACCTTTTTTAAAAAAAATACAAGGAACTGGACACAATGCTGCCAGATATTGCTGTAGGCTATATTTCAGATGAAATAATCCCTTGAAACCTGCTAGCAAGGGCAGCATTTAATATTTTACCATCAGTGATTTGGTGGACATCCTCTCTGGGTTCAATAATCACAATTTAAGAAGGAAATATATTTTACATCCAATAAGTTAGTGCAGGATAGGAATGGAAGTTCTTTGAACCACTGGATAATTCGTTGGATTGCAATGCTCAGTATCCCTAGCCAGAACATGTAGTAATAAAGAATCCTGGAAACCACAAAATCCCTTGGCATAGGGGGTTATAAACAATCCTAACTCGCAAGTGACAACCCCAATTTATCCTTGCAGATACAAGAAAAATAAAGTTGTAATAATTGAAGGAGAAATCAACATTAGCCTTGTCTACACTACCATATAATGCACTTTGAAACTGCGTTATATGGTGAGTGTAGACTCATATAATGTGGTTTAATGCAGTTAAATGTGGTTTAATGCAGTTATGAGTGTACACCCGCCATATAATGCAGTTCCAAATTGCATTATATGGCAGTGTAGATGGAGCCATAGATGCTGTAGCAATGGAAACTTCAACCAGAATATTCTCTAGTATACACATTGCCTTTATTACTTGGAATTTAGGCATAAAGTTCTTGTTGGAAGCCTGACACCCATTAGCGTGATTAATGAGAAATATAGCCTCAGAGCAAAGGATGGATAGCTGTGACGCTGAGTGATTTAGCTAAGGATCCATCAGTGGGACAAAATTAAATGGACTGAGACAGAAAAAATATTGAGAATGACAGGTTTACTTATAGCCATGTGGGATCTTTAATCTCACAATATATGGAATAGTTATTTGGCTGCATATATATTTCTCAAGCACATTTTCCACAGTGTTTATTCTATTTGTAACATATAATATTCATCCCCATCTTATTTCTAACTTGTTTGTCTATGACACTATTAAAAATGAAGATATAAATTTAGGCTAAAATGGATACCTATTGGTGAATATGGAGTAAAAAGTCTTTCTGAAAACATCATTTTAAAATGAATGCATTGCATTGCAACTGCTTTGTAATCCTTTGTATTGACTTTGCTGGGTTTTTACAAGAAGTTGATAACCACCACTGAGTTTAAATGTTTGTAAACCTTTAAACTTTTGAAAATAATCCTCTTAGTGTCTTGCTCCTTAGCCATTGCAGTCACAATAATCCAAAAATGGAATTCCAAAGCCCTTGCTTTTGCTGTATTGCAGTGAAACGTCTGTACCAAAATGAGATGATGTCTAGGGGAGTTGGTCAGAAACTGAGATCTATCTGAAACAGGAGGCAAGCCTATTAGTTCTAGGACCCATCTGGAAGAAAATGTCATGATTAATATTGGTGATGAGAGTCCTATGTCAAGTCAACTAATATGACACTGGAAACAGACTGACAAAAAGGCAAACCCCGTAATTTCTCTACTTACAGCTCTCAAGCTGTTTTTGAACTGCTTAGGTGGATAGTAAGCTGGGCTGACAGTCAGGTGCTCACCCTGACCTGGGCTCCGAACTGGCAACCTTTTGGTCTCCCCTTTTTTTAGGCTTTATGCCTTTTACTAGCCAGCTCAAGATCTGCATTCTAGGAACTCTAGGCTTCTCACCCAACTAACAGTTTCTTTTTCTGTGGCATGACTGTAATATTTCACTCACTCTCTACTCTTCGAATTTCTTCCCTGAACATTTGCAGGCTGCTCCTTCCCTTATAATTTTGAAATCTCTATTTAAACCTTTTTTTGTTTTCCAAAGCTTTTTGATTTTTTAAATAATCTTACAAAGTTTGATTACATGTATTTGTTTGCTTTATATTGTGCTGCATTTTTGTATTTTATCTGGATATTTTGTTTTTCAATTATATTGTATAGTTTCATAGTAAATTATTTCTTCTTTCCCACTATGTGTTTATGTGTATAAACGACATACATGTGTGTGAATAATGTGTGTGTGTGTGTGTGTGTATGAATACTGTGTGTGTGTGCCTTTGGCAGAACCCACTATTTTTGGTTGTTTTACTTATAAAGTATCATGAAGATTGATGGCACTAATTCAGGCATGTAGCCGGGGGGGGGGGGGGGGGTTCAAATTCTCAGGGTGGTCCACGAGAAGGCCTTACTGGTACATTATTTAAACTGTTATGTTTATTCATATCATGATCTGATCACCATGTTCAATATATCCCATATGCATGGGGGTATTGGGGTAACGATACAAAAGGTTTGCTAGGGTAGACCCTCTTTCACTCAGACTCAGCCCCCCCCCCCGAATCAAACTCAGCCCCTCCCGAATCAAAATCCTGGCTACAGGTCTGGGCACTATAGAATTGATGATGATGATGATGATAATGGTAATAATGGTGATGATGATTTATTTTTATTTATTTATTTTGGGCACTTCTACCCCACTCTTCTCAGGGGGGGACTCAGGGCGGCTTACAACCGGCACAATTCGATGCCAACAATTCAACAGATAAAAACAACAATAACCACAATAGTTAAAACATTCAGTTAATACAATAACAAGTAAAAAGATGATGATGATGATGATGATGATGATGATGATGATGGTGATATAGAATTTTATACATGTACATTTTCAAGCCACTGCCTAGACTTGCTGGGAAAAGCTCCTTATCAATGAAAATTAGTTGGATATACATTAGAGTCCTTTACTAGGTTCTCCATTTTCTTTGGATGAACTATTTGAGACAATAGCTATTTCTAATGAAGGTTAAAATACACAGTAGTAGTCAACCTTCCAACTAAAGAAATACTGATTTTTGCATTGTCGTATTTTCTCTTTTCTTCATCTTTCTTCTCATCTGCCAGTATGCCTTTGTTAACGACGTGTACTGTACTGTATTCATCCCTGAAGCAAGATATTCTTCCCTTCTTCACTTTTGCTTTTAAAATAGGTCCATCATATTAAACTGAATCAAAGAAGCTTTGTCATTCAGATTATTAATACTATACAATAAGAGGAAGCTAATGATACCACTTTATAAAACTTAGTAACAGTTGATAATGTTTAACTATTTTATAATGCCAATGAATATCTGTTAGTAAAGATAAAGGGGTCTCAGCTGTGTTTCCAGATGTACTATGAATAAAACACAGTTTATTCATAGATGTGCTTTGTACTATGAATAAAACACAACCTCTCAGGGAATATCACTTGTGTATTTATATGAACTAGATATATAGAATAGCTTATAATTTTAACTGTGATTTCATTATTTTTCTTTCCCTTTACCCTTAGAACGCTTCAATGTATACCTTATGCCTACACCAAATTTAGATATCTATGGGGAATGTACAATGCAGATCACACATGAAAACATCTATCTCTGGGATATCCACAACGCTAAGGTGAAACTTGTAATGTGGCCTCTAAGTTCCCTGAGAAGATATGGTCGTGATTCAACATGGTTTACTTTTGAATCTGGAAGGTAAGACAGTATCATGAAAATATGTTAAGTAGAGTTATCCAGTAGAATTAGCATGTTATGTATCATGAGGTATTATGGTGTACTTGGTTCAGGTGGCATATGCAACAATAACTCCTATGACTCATCGCATTAACCCCATGATTTGCCACAGATTGTGGTGAGTGGCTGGGCCCAGTGGGGTGTGTGAGGAACCCATTGCCATATGCCCCACATTATCCACCTTGCCACTCACCCCATCCCATAGGGGGAAGCATAGCTACCTGACTTCGTTGTTTCTTATGCTACATGGGAAGTTTCCCATGTTGCTGTCACTGCCTCCTGTGATGCTTGAACTTCAGTTGAGGCACAGAGCTGCACTGGAAGTTGATCTACGCTGTGTGATGGGAGCCAGTGGACTCTGTGCCTCAACTGAAGTCCAAACATCACAGGATGGGCAATTTTGGTCCCTATTTTCCTACTGGAGTTTGGAAAAGTTACTTAATGGGGCTGCAACTCCCAGTATCTCAATCTAGGATGTATGGTTTTAAAGATGTGGTCCCAAGCTCTGGTTCCTGCCTTGTAGATGTGGCTCTATGACAGTAGTTCTCAACCTGTGGGTCCCCAGGTGTTTTGGCCTACAACTCCCAGAAACCCTAACAGCTGGTAAACTGGCTGGGATTTCTGGGAGTTGTAGGCCAAAAACATCTGGGGACCCCAGGTTGAGAACCACTGCTCTATGATATTGGTATGGATGTCTATCTAAATCAGGGGTCCTCAAACTAAGGCCCGGGGGCTGGATACGGCCCTCGTAGGTCATTTACCCGGCCCTCGCTCAGGGTCAACCTAAGTCTGAAACAACTTGAAAGCACACAACAACAACAACAACCCTATCTCATCAGCCAAAAGCAGTCCCACACTTCCAACTGAAATACTAATAAGTTTATATTTGTTAAAATTGTTCTTCATTTTAATTATTTGTATTGTTTTAAAGTGTTTTTGCACTACAAATAAGATATGTGCAGTGTGCATAGGAATTCAGTCTGCTTTTTTACAAATTGTAATCTGGCCCTCCAAAAGTTTGAGGGACTGTGACCTGGCCCTCTGTTTAAAAAGTTTGAGGACCTCTGATCTAAATTAAAGGTGTTTCTTTGACTTTCAGTTTATAATCTCCTCTGAATGGGACAGCAACTTTGAATGTATTTATTTACACTATAGAATGAGACTAAGGAGACCTTAAGGAACCACCAACTGAATCACAAACTGCTAGTGACTTGCTATCGCTGTGCTATAGAGAGTGTCCTAACATACTGCATCTGTGCATGGTTTGGTAACTGCACAGTGGCAGATAGGAAAGCACTCCAAAGGGTTACCACTTCTGCACAGTGAATCATTGGTTACCCTCTCCCCTCTTAGGAAGAACTTTATAATTCCTGCTGCCTTAGGAAAGCTCAAAGTATTCATGGGGACCCAATTCACCTGGCATATTCTTCTTCTTCTTGGATTATTGCCATCTGGCAGATGGTACAGGGTGGCAAAGACAAGGACAAACAGATTGAATGATAGCTTTTATCCTAGAGTGGTGGCTATGTTGAACTCAGTGATTTCATATTGATTGAGGCTGTGTGGTGGGGAGTGGGAGTGGAGGGATGGCTGTATTGTTTTGTAGTGTTTATGGGGGAAGTCATGTAATATCGTTGTGAAATAGCACAAGGACAAATAGAACTGTTCTATTCTGATTCTGAATGTACTTTGACATCACTTTAACTGCCATGCCTCAATGCTATAGAATCCTGGGAAGTGAGGAACCAGCATTCTTGACAGAGAAGACTAAAGACCTTGTAAAGTTACATTTCCCATGTTACCATACAATTGAGCCAAGACAGTTAATATGGTGTCAGATTGCGCAAATTCTATAGTGTAAATGCACACTAGATCCAAAATATTTAGTTCTGTTATCTGAAATATCAGAATAATGTCAGAATAAAATTGGATTATGGAAGAATACTCCATCTTTGAACTATAATGTAAGAAAAACATTCAAATTTTAAGACTATGCTATCCATTTTTGGACATAAAGTATAACTGGACTTACAGAGATTAAGTTTGCATTCCTAATAAAAGCATGGATAGGTGCCACATCCATAAAAATGAATCCTAGTCTAGTTTTGCTAGCCAAAACACACTCATTTTTTTCTGTAAATGATGGATAGTAGATATGCTGAGTAATGCAAAATTGACAAGTGATCCTGTAAATCCTGATATTTACATAAATTGATAGGATAGGCTTAGGACAAGAGGATGAAGTATGAATTTCTTTATCTTACCAAGCACTTGACAGGGAAGAAATTATTTTCATTTTGTGTAGTTTTGGGAAACTGCAAGATATTAAAATAAATTTAAGAACTGAGCTAAATGTTAAAATGGTCATGAATCCTATAGCAACATGGAAATACATTAAAAGCCTCTCTCTATATGTGAACCATTTAGGTTTTATTGGACTAAACCTCCCAAAAACTCTACATATTTCCCTGTATGAAACACAGATCAAACAAGATGGTTTTCCTCTCAAAGTTCTTCAGACATGTTTTGGATAGATAGGGATACAGCTATCAATTAAAACTTGCAACAGAGAAGTGGAAAAAAAGATAAATCTTTCAAATAGTTGAATGGTTGAGAAAATAATGCTAAATCTATCCACATGGATTAGTACATGGTAGTTTAGTTCAGTGATGTATTTACTACTAACACATGGCGATCATCATAGCTTGAGACCATATGCAGTATTTAAGCAGTGGGATGAGGTTTGAATAAGCTGATAAGACTGTAGGAATGGTAGAATTGATGATGGCACTTTAGACTGTAGTTTGGTGGGAATTATATTTTTAATATAACCTTGTCTGTTTTGTCATAAAAAAACATTGCAAATAAAAAACTAGAAGAATATGTAATAGAAACATTCTCCATCCTGTGTTCATTCTTAGTTCCTTGTTTGATTTCTGTTATTTACATGCCAGTATTTCCTTTTAAATATTATTTATTTATTTATTTATTTATTTATTTACAACATTTGTACCCCACCCTTCTCACCCCCCCCCCGGGGGGGGACGACTCAGGGCAGCCAACATAGGCAGCAATTTGATGCCACAATATCAATAACAATGTAAAACCATAAATACATAGCAGATTAAAAACAGTGACATTAATTATAATCACATAATCACGTAGTCACATAATCACATAGTCACACAGCTGTTTGCAAGGTATTTGTGGGCCTATCCTTTTCCTTTGAACTACTTTCTGCCACCTACTTCATCTAAATTGAGCTAGGAAAATTAGATTTTGGTAAATGAGGGGAAAATATCCCATAGGTAGTTCTCTGTGACCCTCATGGTAGAAATGAAATGAAATAATGAAAACACAAATTAAATAGCTAATAGGATATTGTACTTTCACGACACCCAGTCTGCTGCATAAGGCTAACGCCTTATTTGTCTTTGCTATGACTCCCAATTCCCCCTCTGAATGCCAGCAAATATGGAAACATGTTTGAAAGTAACTGATATTAGATGAAGTGATAGATATGTAGATATAGAGTAGGTAGAGAGGAAGAGCCAAACAAAATGTGTTTTGTGCCTGTTCATTCTGTAGAGAAGACTTCTAGGCATTATCTATACTTGTTGAGCATTCATTATCCAGGATTCTGAAATCCAAAATACTTCCAAAATTTTCTAAAAGGGTAGCCAAGATAGAAACACATTTGCTCTCTGATGGTTCAGTGTATGCAAACCATCATGTGCAAAATTATTTAAAATGTATAAAACTAGCTTCAAACTATGTGTATATGAAACATAGATGAATGTTATGTTTAGACTTAAGTCCCATCTCTGAGATATCTCATTATGTATGTATAGTCAAATATAGGTATCCCCCCACCCCAAAAAATCTGAAATCCAAAACACTTCTCATCCCAAGCATTTGTACAAGGTATTGGTTTTTACCTTTAAAGCCCTAGATGGTTTGGGTCCAGGTTGCCTAAAGGATTGCCTTCACTCATACAATCCGCCCCACACACTTTAGTCTTCTGGGGGGCATCTGCTCCAACCAGCCAGAACCTGACTGGCAAGTACCACCCAGAGGACCTTTTCATCGGTCACCCCATGTTAATGGAATGACCTGTCAGAAGAACTTCGACAACTAAACTAGCTGTCGGAATTTTCAAACCATGTAAAGACCTATCTCTTCCGACAGGCCTCCCCAGACAGTCTTTAAACATGAATGTTAAGTGTCCCTTGTTTGATCTCTGTTTTGTGTGTTTTAGTATGTATTTTGAAGTGTAATTTTTATGGAGGTATGTTTTAGTGTTTTAGTGTGCATATTTTTGTAGTGTTTTTCCTGTGTTTATGTATTTTAATTGTTTTGTAACCCTCCTCGAGCCATGAGGAGAGGCAGGTAAGAAGTAAAATTATGATAGAATCATAGAATCATAGAGTTGGAAGAGACCTCATGGGCCAACTCCTGCCAAGAAGCAGTGAAATTGCATTCAAAGCACCCCGACAGATTGTTGTTGTTGTTGTTGTTATTATTATTATTATTATTCTGACACAAAAACACAGTATGTCACAGCAAATGAGATATATATGCTGGATTTCGTATCACAAAATCACAAGTCGAACACTTTCCAAGCGTCTAGGACTGTGTGATGTATTTTCGAATGATGCGTGCAGATCCAAGTAAGGTGGCCTTTTGCAGTTGACAGATCATGATTTTGTCAATGATTATTGTTTCCAAATACCGGCTGAGATCTTTTGGCACAGCACCCAGTGCGCCAGTGATCACTGGGACCACCTGTACTGGTTTATGCCAGAGCCTTTGCAATTCGATTTTGAGGTCCTGATAACGGCTTGAGTTTTTCCTATTGTTTTTCCTCAATGTGACTGTCATCTGGTATGGTGACATCAATAATCCAAACCTTTTCCACAATCGTGATGACTGGTGTATTGTGTTCCAAAACTTTGTCAGTC